CTCTTCGCCAGTTCGATGGGAATCTGGTTCAGGATCGATTCGGTCCTGGTCGCGGGTGTGGCGTCGATGGCCACGGAAACCTTTGGGACCTTTGATTTCTTGCCAGGGCGTATCACCAGGGCCGGGTCTTTGTCGTAAATCGGCTCTTCCTTCCTCTCCTTCGACAATTCCTCCTCCAGCCTCTTCTGCTCCTCTTCTTGTTGTTTCGTTAGCTTGTCCTCGTGCTCCTTTTGCAGAGTTTCTCTCGTCTTCCTGAGAAATCTAGGGGAACATCTTCTCGAACACAAACACGTAAACGTTCAATGAGCAGAAAAATCGATGCTTCCCGGATTAAATTTCCATGAACTCTAAGCTACGATTCGAGGACGGAACGAAAATTTTTCGCCGAAACAATTTCCCAAAGTGTTTCCGACCGATCTGTCTCCGTTAGACGAGCGAAACTACCGGCTAAGTAAATTTCGATGACGCAGAGTCGGGGGATGAAAACAGCCGTAAGCTGTACCGATTCCGACGAATCAGCACGCGTTTCAAGACAGCGAAGTCTTTAATTGAGACCGTTGATTAGATCAACTTCTCCGACGCGAATTTCTAAGAAGCTCTACCCAAGTCGACGCAATTACCAAACTGGTCTGAGTCGAAGAGACCGTCTCCGATCGATCGCAGCGCGCGAACGCTACCTACCTGTGCACGATCTCCTGCTGTATCCACTCCCTAACCTTGACGTGAGTGTCAATAGTGGAACCAGAGTTCTGTCTGGACAGTTTCGAGCGTCTACCGAAATTCGAGTTGTTGTCGTAAGCCTTGTCGTTCTTTATCACGTCGTTCAGGTCCGGCTTACTGTCGCTTTTGTAGCCCAGCTCTCCATAGTGATTCTCATACTTGTCCGATTTCGTCCGTTTCGAGTCCTCCTTCTGACTGACGCGTCTCTTCAATCCCGTCCCTTTCGACTTTGCCTCTTGCTTCTTGCAATAGAGATAGAGGAACGCGGTGAAGTTGATGAAGAGGAACAAAATTCCGAAACCGGTCAGCATAGTGATTACTGAGGAACTCTTTGGCGTGCTTGGCTGTGGGATTACTTCTCCGTCCGATTGAGAGGACGTCGTAGCGTCTGGGGCGGTTGTGCTGTCATCCGGAACGCTGAACTCTGGTTGGTGACGATCAGTCTCCTTGAAACTGCAGCATAAAGCACTTGTTTGATTTGTCGCGAGGATAGATCAGGAAGAAAGTTAATTCGACTTTTATGGTCGTAACGGAGACGCGCGTGAGTTCGAAAGTTCCGGAAACTGCAGGTGTTTGTACGGAAGCTTCTGGGGTGGGATGGGAAACTTGTATCGTTCCAGGAGTACACGCGAGTTCGGATTGAACTTAGTTAGGTAGTTTCTCAGATTTGTACAGCTTTGTATAGATATTCATAGACGGGATTGCGAGTAATTCGATAAGGTGTTAGAATTTAAGCAGTTACTTGTTTCGTGGGATTAAATCACGATGCTCGTTTGTTCGTCGAAAATGCCGTGCTCGTGGTACCCCGGTTGTTTTCGAGATGTTAACGCGTTAAGCCTATCGAGAATGCAACTGCGGCTCTAAACAGGTGAATCTCTTTCGCCTCGTTGCGAGCCTCGAGTTTGAATAAATTCTGTACGAGCTGCTCGGAGCGGGCGATTTAAGCGTTCGAGACGAGCAAGGAAGCTGGCGCGATGGAGTGCAAGTGACGTTTCATTAAATGTTCAGCATACGGCTGAAAAACAGTGCATCGATCCCGCCTTGCATTATGCAGACCGGGAACGAGAACGTTTAATTTTTGTTTAATAAGCGAGATCCAGGCTGAATTTTTCACGAGAACAAAGCTGCGCGCGAACACGCAGGCCGGTCGATTAATATTTTTAATAACAAACGACTGACGCGTCCTTAATTGTCAATTTGTCAGAGCGCGTTTCCACGATAGTAGTTCGTTGCGCACGCACGAGCTTCCAAGGTTCGTACGAATTTTTGTCTTCTACTATTGGAATACTTAGAATTCAGCAATGATGTCAGCCGTGCCAGATAGCCGAGGTTTGTTTATGCTCTTCTTCCTCGAACACCGAGTGCTTTGGCTAGTGTCAGTGAGAATCAACTTTGTTCGCAGATCAGTTCTCTGCCAGGGATCGTGTAGCGTGCATGCCGCTATCTTTCGATCGTAAATTTTTGTCTAAACGTATTCTCTCTTTCGTCGATGCGTTAGCTATACCACGCGCGTTCTTAACCTACTAATTCATAATCCAAATCCTCGTTACCAACCTGGTACCGCTGCTGTCATATTCCCTACTCGCATTCGCGTACTTTCCAATCCCATCTACGGTGTCGAGAAACTGCGGTCTCGTTCCTTTTGGTCGATTCGGGAACGGTATGTCTTTGCCAGGATGGCGGAGCAGGTTAGGCAGGTGCTCGTTCCAGAATTGCATCTCTGCAAATCGGTACTGCATACCCGTGCTCGGTGGAATCGCTGCATTAATTTACCAGTGGTATATTCATTTAATCGTGATTACCGATATTCTCCGAGTAGTCGATCTTGAGGACTTACTAAGGTTCAGATAGGTTTGATTCTGAGGATCATACTCGGGCCAATCAATCTCGTACTGGCCCCATTCCTTCAGCCCATCAGTCAGGTAAGGATACCTCTTCGCGATGTTGGGGTTCCTGATTCATTAAAACCGATTAATTTGACAAACCTATCAACGAAATCTGCTCGCAAATTTCCAATCGCTCCTTGCCATTTTGCAAATCGTTCGTTTCGGACACAGAGACGAAAATGCAGATATCATTTTTACAGTATCGATGCACGTGGCTTGCCTCGAATTCGCAACGTTTTCGGAGCAGAGATGGGACGCGAAGTAACACAGCAAAACGCGGGAATCTGTGCCTGGACCCTCTCTCGGTCGAGTATTTTTGCCAACAGGATTACAAGCTCACCGGTCGTTTTCGTGGCTGAATCGGAATCGAATTCCGGGATGAAAAGCAAAATTGCGATTTCGCGATGTTTTCAATAAAGTCCCCGGCAAGAACCGTTCCAGGCGGCATTTCCAGGTGCTCCCGCTTCGTCGCACGCAAAATGATATAGTATATCCACGCTCGGATATCGGAAAACCAGTCCGATATCGAAATTTTGATACACGGAAACTCTACTCCGTTTCTGTTACGCGATACTCGCACGTTCGTAGGAACTTCTGCCTGAAACGTGTATCTCAAAAGGGATAAAGTCGGAGAGGCATTCGCTGGCCGGCGAACACCACGAGTCCTGTCCCGGAACTACTACGAGGTCAATTTCGTCGTTCACGATCGATCGTTCCTTTTCTTCCGCGACTTCTACGCGAGCATAAAATTCCCCGATCGAACCTGACGACCGAAACGAGACGTCATCGACAGTCTGAAAACGGTTCTCGAGACAGGGGAGCAACTGCAGCGATCGGGAACGTCGGCGTTCGAACTCTATCGATCCCTGCTACGTACCGAGCGTCGAGGAGAAGCCGCGAGACTCTTAAGAAACGTCTCGCTAGACGTTTGTTTCCGTCTGCTCGGCTGTAAAGTAGCGCGAGGGTGCACCACGCCCTCGGTTCGTGTTCTATACGCATCGCTGCAACCACGGCAGATATATTCTTCGAAGGAGGCGTGACACAGTGTCACGCGAGATATCGATCAGCCTGTGTCACGAGCCGTGTGGAACACGCGTCGCGTCTACTTGGACCGTCGTCGCCACCGCGTGCATTAAACAGCTTTGTTTCGCTTAATTGGATCGACCCAGTTCCTCGTGATCCGCCATCGTGTCGCGATGCATATGCATCTCTGTCCCGGCATAAGAATCTCGAGTTCGCGGCCGGAAGTACGGTGGAAAAAGAATGCCGCAACTTGCCATTCGAATCAGCATCTGCCGAGTTAAACGACGGTCTTCGAACCGTGGGCCTGGAACAGTCGTGGAGGACTGTATTATCGATTCGGTGGAAGGTTGGTCGTTTCCGAGGAAACCGAGCAATCGTGCGACGCGATTTCGATACACTGGATCATCGATACGCGGAGGACGTCGATAAGGGAACGCGGCGTGTGTCCGGGAGGGAAACAAAAAGGGCGACTTGCACGCGATATTGCCGGCGGAGTTCGTTTCCGAAAATTATCTCTTGACGCGAGCGATGAAATACGAGAGAAATTTCGCGCTTTCGAAGATAAAACGGCCGAATCGATTGGCCCGTACCGGAGGGAACCGCTGCCCCCTCCCTGCGGCAAATGAAATGTGCGAGTAATTTGTATATATAGGTAATTTGCTTGTACAGGGAAAATTAAAATGGCCGAGGTATCGGATCGTTAATTCACCAATAACCGGTGTCAAAATAGCAAAGGTCAAATTGCATCCGGCGAATTTCGCCGAGCAGAACGGGTTCGTTGTTGCTTTATTTCTGTTCGACCATCCACTTCCGCTGAATAGCGATTTTTAGAAATTCTCCAATCTCTGTTCTTCGTGAATTCGCGTCGTTCGGCTATTTCCGATAGCAGCGGCTACTTCCGGGTAACCGTAAGTACGCGTTGCCCAGCGAATCTCAGAATTCGATGCCGCTGCTATAAATTTCGAAATTTCGTTTGATGAAATAATAATTAACGCGCGTAGTCTAAATTCTCTTTGAAGGATTTCGATATTAGACGCAGCTTCCGCGGAATTAAACCAGAAACGATGCAGGGGAAGAGATTAATCATCCCTTTGCGTTTAAATCCTTCCAATTCCCGCGATACCTCCCCTATCGTGGAATAAATTTGCCGAGCCTAACACGTTCGCAACCGCGCTGAACAAATTGAACGTCGGAGGATTCTTTTTCGCACACGCGGATCCGTAATGAGTTACGGTTCGACACGTACGCATAGTAAATAACAGGAGCGATCGAACGAGACTCGCGACTACTCCATTTAACCTACGTTTTAATTATTAAGCCCCATTTAACCGGCGCGCGTTTTATTCATCGCGATTTATGGACTACAGATTGAAATCCCCATTCCGAAGCAGCTACGTCGCAAAAATAAACGGATCAAGAACGGCGAAAATTCTTTTGTCGTTTCGAGCAAGGTTCGATTTCGAGCGGAACGACTGCGGTATTTTTCGAGCATGACACCGGTAGAATTTTCAGCTTCGAAAGCACTCGAATCCCAGATAAATCGTTCAAAGCTACGGATACCGTAGAATGGAAATTTGCGCAGGGCTACAGCTCGATTTGAATTGTTTATGCAGCCGGAGGGTGAAATTAGCGAATCCGAATGGAGCTCGGAGCGTGCTTTGCTCCATTATTAAATAATAAATTCGAACATGGACGCTGATGTTCCGTTTTATTTACCTATGACATTTTTCACTGCCCATCTCGAGCCTCGACTCCGCTTTGACCGGCTTTGCGATAAATTTCGTGGAGAATTTTGTACACGTAATTGGAATATTCCGAAACGGTCTCGATATGGAAATAATTTCGCGACTACGCGATATCGCTGCAGCGAATTTTGATTCAGCTCTGAAAATTCATTATCAACCGACTGTCGGAAAGTAGACTGACGCGCTTTCAAACGTGATTTTCAATTATACGCATCTCTGGGTATTTATATTTAACCATTTTCAGCTGCTACTGCCGCACACGAGACTTGTAATTATTTTTTCAAACAGATTTAATGGCGACCCTGTTAAATCTTGCTGATACTCCATTCTCGTCCCGTGGTCAGCTGTAACATTCGTTTCACCGATTGGCGTGCAGCATAATTTCTATCGGAAGCTTTATTCCATTTTTATTTTATTCGACTACAAGAGTGATATCTAGGGGTGCTGTACGAGACAAAAAGAATGGAACACTGGACGACTTTCGAGTGCAAATAGAAGCATGGTCGTGAGATTTGCATTGTCATGCACTATGGCCTTTTAGATCGAATTTGACATAAATGGGAAACGATTCTATCGGTTCACTCGTTATAATTTTCATTGAACGAAGCGGCGAGATTTGCAGTGTTTGAATCGTGGCCTTTCCAATATCCAGTGTGCCGAAAATGAAAAAAGTACTGCAGTATTTTATTCACTACAGTCCGTAGTCGATATAGCCACGAGATTTACGTTCGATTGGACTAAAGCTTCTTAAATACCGAATACGTCAAAAACGAAACGAAACAAAAAAAGAAAAGCACCAATACTTTATTCTCTATTGTTTCCAGTAAACCTATTCACGTGATTTGCATTGGACAGGATTGACGCAAATATCCTTTATAAATTCAAAGACCTCGATCTCTCGACGCAAATGGCATCCAGGCCAACGACACGCGTTTCTCGCAACAAGTACGCGTATCTTGTACGCAAGGTAGAGCAACTCACCCCACATAGGCGAAGCTACACCACCAGTTCATCATGGCTTCGGAGAAGAGAGTTTCGCCGATATTGTATCGGCGACGCAGGTCGTATTTGCTGCCGTCGAGAGGCACGCCCAGCACATAGGGCAACTCCTCGCCGTGGACGGTGCGCTGACGTTGTTGCTGCAAACACGCAAGAGCGCTAGGTACGATATACTTTGCCGGTCGGCAACAAAGTTCTTGCCAAAATTTCGCGGTCCGGAAGAACGGTCAAGAACGGCCCTGTCCGTGTAACCGCGGCCATTGTTATTAACTTCCGTCGCTCAGCGTTGCGTTTTCGCCCTATTCACCCTTATCCCTCATCCCGGTTCATCGATACCGATCGACAATCCCACCCTTCCGGTACGATCGCGATCGATGATCGTACGAATATGCCCAAGACTCGTGAAGCAGAAAGTGTGTCATATGGAAAGCGAACGCTTGTTCGCTTTTCCAACCAATGAACCCATTTTGCCTGTATTCACTTTAAACCTGCCACAGCCTAAGTGGCCATTTATAAGCCCAGAAAATAATTCATCCACCGGTCATTTGACCAATCCTGTTCAATTTTTCATGAAGTGTCCTTTATCCCGTGCTATCGCGATTTTATTTTATGCTTCGAGTTCACGTACACCCATTCTATACACGAATTTCCTAAAATAGCAACTCGTAGTAATTTTTATCGTGACACTCTGCTAGCCATTACGCGATCGCGTAATAAATTGATAATAAAAAATTCGGAAAATTTTGTACCATTTTTCTAAAATTATTAGGTTCTTATAGAAATCGATATTCTCCTAATCGAACGTGCAATTTTGGTATGTTCTCTAATGAATTCGGACACGTGGTAGGAGTCTCTGGACTCGTGGGGACGTTTGTTAACACGATGACAGGGATTGTGACGAGCTGTTGTTCCCGCGGAGAGCGTCTGGCAGTCTCGGAGTCTATCGTTCGTAAATTCCATACCTAACAGCGGAAGAGCCAAGCCTGTAAGCTCACGCTGAAAAGCAGAAACGTTGTTACATTCGGTTTAACGACACCGGCCGGTCACTGTACCCTCGGACAGAGCGTAACGCGCCGGCACGCAGCACCGATAAAAATAGTTGGACGCGGTCCAAATGGGCCTCGTAGCCGGGATTTTTCTCCCAGTTCGCGCACGACCGACCAACGAACAGTCAGTAGGTCACTCCCTGCTTCCGCCAAGGAATCCACCGCGCCGCGCAGTACCCGGGAAAATGAATAAAATGCAAAGTACACCGTCTAATCGTACGTGCTCCAGTTTTCACGAGGCGCGCAGCCCCGGCCGATTTATGCGCCCCCTTAATATTTCTCCCGGCTTCCGGATTCTACGCCCGGATGAATTTGTCAGGCTAGACGCACGGATGCGCCATTATCACGGCCTCTTCCGCTCCGGGCTGAGTTTCATCGAATCGCGATTTCGCGCAGCAGTCTGAGTGGCTTTAAGGAAACGGCGGGGATTTTAGCGACGATGGCCAATTCGCGGAGAGAAAGCTAAGGGGTGTCTTGATGGAAAGAATATACCATTCTTTGTAGAATACGTCAATCGCTACGTATAAATGGTTTTAGTTGTCATGTCGGTAGCTGGTATACTCCTATTTCGAAGTGAAATCATCTAGCAAGAGAAAATCGTGCATTAACTTTTATGAGATTCCTGAAGATGATAGACTCGAGTGGTTCGATTCTTCGTAATTTGGACAGTGAAAATATTTCTCGAGAAAACCGGCGGTTAAATTTAAAAAATTTGTTTAATAAAAATTTGTCTTTGTTTCCCACTATAAAAGTATCTAACTAGAAATTCTATCAAGGGATGAGGAAGTACAGGCTTTGCCCTTTACATTCACTCGACAAATGTTATTGCACGGTTTCTCCCCTGAAAGTTGTAGCTGTTCAAAGATGGTCGTAGTGTAAATTCAGTGCAGTTCATCGCTGTACGTTAAGCTTTAATTATTAACATTTTGCATAGGGAAATAATGCAACTGAAGGATTATTGTCATCGATTTTTATATATCGTCCATTGGTTTATACTCGTCAATCGAGTAGGGGTGATTTTGTCATCCTGCTCGAAAATAGTCAAAAAATAATCGGAAAACCGGTTACATATAAATCTAATTATTCGACGTTCCTACTCGAGATGAACAGTGCTCGCAGAAAGACGTACTTACGCCGGAGTACTCCTGCATCGCTTTCGGATGCGAGAAGACGTACATGTAGCTCTTCGGATTTGCTCTCGAATGCAAATTCGCGGTCATTATTAATGGCGCGACGGTGCCGCTGTCAGAGAGCGCCTCCAGCACGAGGTCTCGATTCCTCAGGGTGTACTCGGTCGTCAAGCCGGCCGAGAAATCGCCGTATTGTTCCAGAATCTTTGACAGAATTAGTTCCGCTTCCAGTTCGTGCGTCGCCTGCCGATCAAGAAATATCGCGTCATTTGTTATCCGCGCGCCGCGTACCTTGAATTTCGACGGATTCGATATCCGCTCGTCTACAAATATTCCTAGCCCAAGTTCTCTTCGAGTGCCGATTTTCTCCCTCGATAAATCGTGGACGAGCGGAATTTGCCGACGGTCGAAACAATTAGCGGGAAACAAGTTCTCGGATCAAGTACCTTGGCGTGTTCCCTTAAAATCTCGTCCCTCTGCCCGTCCTGCACCCCGTGAAGCAGAGCAACCGGCGGTAAAATGTGGAACTTCTCCGATTCCGTGACACCGTACATCAGATCGAACCTGTTCAACATACTTCACCTTCAGACACTTCACCATGAAGAACAAGGAAATATAAAAAGCGAATTTTCTACGATACTTCGAAGAAAGGTTCATCCGAATCATCGACGAATGGTGTATATCGATCAATTTTTCGTCGTTCATTGCGCTTTGATACCATCGTGAAAGGATTTTAGTACGCTTTTCTAACGTCCATAGGAAGCGTTTAAATCCAGCCTTGTCGATAATATAAATGAACCTTTAATCTCGGTACGTCTTTAACGTCCTACCTGCCGATCAAGTCAGGATTTTTCATCAGATTCGCGGGCTTGTCGGGGATAACCACGTTGTCGATCAGTGGAGCGAAGGCAGGGACGTAATTCGGCTTGTGGATCTTCACGTTCAACAGAGTGTTCACATCTTGGTTGCGCAAACAGAACGCCAGGTCACTGTCAGTCGTGGTGGGACAGTGCAGGGCGTGCGCCACCTGAAAAATGATTCCGACCATTCCTCAGCGACGCCCAATGAACATTCCCGACGTCTACTGCGATCCTCGCTGCACGTCCAGGCGATGAAAAACGAGATTCCTTCCTCTCCTGATCCCAATCGCAACCGCGACCCTCTGTTCTTCCATTTTCTCGCAGAGGCGATCGGAACACGTACAGAACGCGACTCGTTTGCCTCTAGCAGAGGACGCGATATCGATCTTCTGTCGACAGCATGTCAGACACGTCGGATTGAAACGTTCCTTCCGCCACGAGCCAAATATCGTGTGCATGTGGAGTGTACTTTCGCTTTTCGTCGTTAACGATCGCAGCTATATAACCTTCGTGCCCGTGGTCTTTAAAGTAAATTGAAACATCGTGTTTTTCGCCAACGCTACAGGCTTTTCTCTAGCCGGCCGATCACGCATATATATAAATCATATAAATTAAATTCGAGTCTAAGAAACGCGATCGGATTCTTATCGGATATGAGAAACTAGCCATCACGTGTACCTGTTACAAATAATTTCTGTAAAATCCAGGCACTGTATTAGTCGCGAACACGCAACGGAGGAGTGGTCGACTGTAGCCTTTCTAATCATTCGTTCGTCTAGTTGAACGAGTAATTAGTTTTCGCGAAGAATGGAACACGGTGTAAAGCGCGAATGAGGCAAGAGAATTCTGAGTGCTGTTTTCGTTCTGTTCCTCGTCGAGATTAATGTATTTACCTGTTTGGTGATCTGCAGGGGAGCTTTCCCGATAGCATCGGCGCTTAACGCCGATCCAGACATCAGAATAGCCCGCTTGAAGAAACCTGCGAAAGATGGAAGGACGATTAATGATCCTTCTCCCTCGAGATCGGCCTAGTAGCTACTTGCACGCGTAAAATGTTAAGTTTTTCATTGTACAGTATAATTATCGATCGGCAATCGTGCCACCGTTCCTTTTAGCCCGGCGACGGCTGAAAAATGATCGTGGCCCCCATCGCCCCTTGTCCTTTTTTGTTTGCAATGGTTGTTCTTCCTTTCCGAGACGCTGGAAGAAAGCTCACGAGTCCTTGGAGAGCGTACATTGTCTCGGAAGCCCGACTCGATCGCTAGTTTTAATGACAGTCGCGGTTATCGGACAGCGCCCAGTGTCTGACCACTTACGGTCTATTCTACTCGCGCGACTGTTAATGCAGTCAGCGAGATCAGTTCCAGTCGACTTGGTGTTTTGTTTCGTGATTATCGACTGTAGTCGTAGTAGTAAATTTCGATCGCGTTCGAGGCTTTCGACTACGGTCCGAACAATTTCGTTTCATCTTCGTCACGAACTTCGTTCCTTTGATCGGTTCGTTTAAGAACGGTGTTTAAGCTTCGCGTTTCTAAAATCGAAGTCTGAACACGGCGCTGTTATCGATTTCACGAAAATGGAGGTTACGTGTTTCCCCCTCGAAAGTGTTCTCTTAATATTCAGGCACCGCAAAAGTCGCAAACACGCGACGGAGCAATAACCGTTACCTTTCTTATTAGCCACCGGGCTGATAAGCAGTAGATTAGCGAAAATGGCACCGGTACCGTGGCCGACCAGCGTAATGCTGTTCGGATCGCCACCAAAATCAGCGATGTTCTCTCGCAGCCAAAGCAGAGCGGCTATTTGATCCAGCAAGCCAAAATTGCTCGCTGCGTCGTCCCTGGTTCCGGGTCTCAAGAAACCTGCAACGAAATTTTCATCGTGGCGAAAATAACTCGTGGTCGGTTTCCTTAACACGTTCCTGCCACGATGTTCACCGACAACGCAGCTTTTTTCTCACTGGAGCATAGTCATCGGTGTTTTCAGATTCTAACTCGGATTATTAGTATAAAATACAACGAATGCTGTCGACTAAAAAATTTGTCGTGAAAATTCTACGATGACTATCTGAAGGTATCGTGTAAAAACTCCGTGGCAGTCAACGTGTTTAAACGCATGCACTAATGTTTTATGTTATGTCAGATTAATATAAATATTTGCGAAATATTATTTCAAAAATATCAAGATTAAAACGAAATGCTTTATTACTTCGATAACATTAATTTAATAAATATTACTTATATCGTGAATAAATATTATATTAAAATATTTTTGTATTTAATACGTTGTGCAGCGAGGTAGCACATGCGCTCCAAATAAAACATTCGAACGTGTACCATCAATATGTACATGGAATGGAACCTGTTAATAATTGGATCGACGAATGAGCTTTACGATTACCTCCCATGCTTTTCCTCGCCCACATGTTTCAATAATAATTTATCGGAAGAACGGCAACCTTACACGCGTTCCTCTACAAAACGAGTACATTTCACCCAGTTTAAAAGAAAGGAAACTCGGGTTCATTCCACAAGCCTACATCCTGAACCAAAGCATCAACCCGAGACATAAAGCTAGCTGGCACAACGCGTGCCTTTTTTAGCCCGCGCGAGCCTGCTCGTTATCCATATTTTTCCTCCGTTGTTTTGCAAAAGGCTGAAGTTATCCGGACCTCTCGCGAGCCAACTGTAGCCGACTACGAACCGACGGGAAGAGGGTGAAGTTAACTAAGCGCCTTCCCAGCACTTTACCCTAATTTATGATTATGGTTTCGCGGCTGCTTCTTCGTTTTTCCCTTCCCTCTGCATCCCTTTTTCCCTCCCCCGGTCATACTCTACACCCCAGCTTCCACCCCACCTGTCGGATGTAGCGGTGCACGGCTCGCCCCACCGACGTTCGTCCATTTACATCGCGCGCGTGGAGGTCGCGTTATCATTTCAAGGGAAAGGATAGGCGGAAGTTGCGATTATACCCAACTGCAGACAGGGAGGGGTTGGAAAAAATAGACCACGCCAGAAAATGGCGAGGATCGATGGAAGTTTCGGGGGCAAAAGGGCCGCTTTTGTCTCGCTATCGTGCGCCTTTTCTCCGAGAAAAATTTTCCTTTCTCGGCTCACGAGTCGACTCGGAAGTTTTACCTTCTCCGTTCGCTTCCCCCTTGCGACTTTTCACTTCCGACCCACGAATTCCTCCTTTCCGTTCGAAGATAAACACAACGATCGAACGTCAATTTTATTGCCATTACGAACGACGATAACAGCAGAAAATTTGCAATTTTTAAAAATCGGATATTTAAGAATCAAATGGAAAGAAGAATCGACAGCAGTGACTTTTATACAGTCAGGTGGGGAAGTTTAAAAGAAGATCCGGTCCGCTCGGAAATTATTCGAGCGCATTTTCGCGCGAATATTAATCCCAAAGGGTTGAAATGTCAGCGTTATAAGAATTCGCGAAAAGATGCCGGAACTCGGGTCGTAAGAGCAGCTCGACCCCGTGTTATTTGTACGAACGGACAGCGAAGAGATATCGAGAGACGATGGCGGTTGTCCCTGTGCGAATGACGGATCGATAGACAGTCGCAGGGGAAGAAGAGGGAAATAAAAAGAAGTTGGTCGAAGATCAAAAACCGATGACGCAGCGAAGCGCGAACGTTAATGAAGCAGAATTCCTGATTTCATGCAACGCTGCCGCTGGCGGCGTTCGGCAAGATTTCATAAATTCCCATCGAGACGCCGACGTCGAGCTCGCTACACGGTTACCGAGGACGAAATTTCAGATCGAGAACGATCGTATTCGACTCGGCGTGTTCCGCGCCTTTTGTTTCCGCTAGCTATCTTTTCATCGCGCCTTGCTTTCCGACGGATCCACCGGAAAATCACCGCGACGCGGCAACGCTCGACTTATACTACTAGCGGCGGTCGACGAGTCGCGATGCGGAAACACGTTGTCTGAAAATGGAAGTAGGATTCGACGCTTATGAAATCGAGACAGTTAATAATTTATGGCTCATTTGGTGATTAACAGATTCCACTTTTGGACGAGTTAATATTACATATAATTAACGCTTCGATGACCGCAGACTTCAAAATTCGTGTTTCATTCTTTAAGCATCGAAAATCGAACAAACGTATAGTATTACGCCATAAAGAGGAATGTTAAATTTTTATGCGAATAATGTGCATGATCAGAGATCTTATGATCATTAATATGTCAATAATAGTTATAATTAGATGCTCGTTGGAAGTCAGTATATCCAGGATTGACCATTTTCAATTGGAATATTATACGACACGAAGTCAATAAATGATATTCAGTCGTAAACGCCCACTAAATGTATATTTAAGTACCTACTTTCTTCTCTCCAAACCAATTAGCAACGATAATGAACGAATATTCGAGCAAGTGAATAACGACAGTAAGTCTGACCATTGACGTTCGAATCTACTTACCCAGGATGCCTAGACGGAAGTTTATAGTGACAAAGACGATGTTGCCATAAGCTGCCAATATAGTACCGTCGTAGGGGTTGCCGCTGTTCCATTCAAAACTCTCCCCATGAATGAACACCATCACCGGGTACTTCCGTAGAATCTTTTGACCTGAAAACAAAGGGTGCAGGGTATTAATGTCAACCGTGGAAGATGAACGTTCTCCTGCATTCTTCTAGCATGCACTGCTTTTTAGTTTCGCGATATTTCACAGGCACACCGGTCGCGCGAATGATTCCACGATGTAACGCAAAATCTATTTTCAAATATTTTCCCGTCAAGCGTGCTAACGCGTTTACCCGTTAATTACATCGGGAACACGATATCGCTCGCGGCCGAAGAATGCAAAGCGCAACGTTAATTGGTCCATCGATATCCCATAAAGTTAATTCCGTAAGCGAATGACGGATAAATTCTGGAATAAATTTTTCCATGCTAACCATAGGCGGAGTTTCGATTTGATAACCAGGGGATCGTATCGTAAATTCGTTCGTCCGGGTATCGAATAAATCGGAGATAAACAATTCATTTCCGACCTTCGTTTGTTCCGAAGACACGATCAATTATTCGGAAAATTCGACGTCAGCCATAGTCTAGCCCTCCGAGAAATCCTCGAGGAAACGTTGCGATGACTTTCATCGACCACCGCGAAAACACGAACGACGTTCTGGGAAAAATAAGGAGAGAAATACGATTCCAAGGAACGAAGAACAAACGCTGTACCTCGAGCAAAGTTCCCTAACTGGAAACACCGTAGCTGCTTATTAGCAACGGTAATACCGCGGAAATTACGATTTTCGCGAGGATGTGTCCACCAGAGAGCGTTCTCTTTTTCTCGCGAAAGCTCCAGTGATTTACGCCGGTCGAAAAATTATCAGCGGAGTTTGCCTATGAACGGTGGTACATGCGTGAGTCGGGTCAGTTGCAAAATTTATCGCGGCCACCCCGTTCGTGAACTATTCACCGTGAGTTTTCGGTATTAGGGTATCTATAAATTCTTCTCCCCCATCCTGTAGACGACGTAGTTTCCTTTTAGCGAACGATCCACAAATTAGACCAGAACGAACACTGGCTCGACCGCTCTCCCCGTTCCACCGCTCCGAGCCGTCGAGATTTATCGGCGAATCTGTTTTACACGATTTCAGTTTCCGTCCGGCAACCAACTTCGCGCTGACATTTGAACACCGCTGCAATCCGGCCAGAATTAAATCATACGCGTCTCCTTAGTCGAAAGCAAATGTACTTTCCTCTTCATCCCCTATTCGTATTACCGACACCTCGCTCCGCGAGTAATCATAGTCTAACGCGAGCGAGGGTGGGCTCCTCTGTAAACCCGCATTGACAGCAACTTCGATTCCTCCGCTCGAGCCTGGTCCCGTTTTCACGGTCAGATTCTCCTCGTTCCTCGATCAGCGAGAGAGATCGCTATTTCCGGCATTTCCGTCGAAAGGCGCGGAACCGCGCGGAAAGGCATCCTCCACCCCCGTTCCTCGGCAGGGGTGCGGAATAATGACGGTGGTTGCACGCGTGTCCAAACTCGCTCTCCGGTTCGTTTACGCGACGAGCGAAAAAGGAAGGGGTGCTTTATTAGCCGCCACCCCGCTGGCAGATATGGGTAATCCTTCGTTTAATATCTCGCGGCTGCGGCCGAATTTGTTATGCTAATGCAGCGCCGTTTATCCACGCCGACAGCTGACCGCGACTTCCGGCGGCGAGGAAAAATATGGCGGCCGAACAGACAAGAAACGAAGCTAGTTGCCTGGCGAACGGCGGTGATCAGCAACCGGCTGACGAGCTGTTAAAGCGTTTATGGACTGTCAGCGAAGTATCGTGCTCTTGGAGGCCACAAATCGAATGACTCGACCCCTCCTGAGAGCTGAAACGACGCATCTATACGAACTCCTTCCCTCGTGGCCGTCCTCACGGATCACGTGACGATTATCCGTATTGTCGCGCGAGTTCACAGGCCCTGAATGGAGCGAAAGGACTAGGAAAATTGCTGTCCTCGATAATGCATATCCCTTTCGACAAACAGTAATGGTCGAGAAGATAGGACGATTGTTCCCGTATCGTCTAGTTTGTCCTTCCTCGTTGGGATTAATTGAGAGTTATATCTGAAAAATACACGAGGTGTCTCGATGTCTACTATATCCGTGTAATAGGAAAGGGGTGCAGAGTATTTATTTCATTGTTTACGGCGTGCTCGGCCCGACGTTGTGCAATTGAATAAAATTTCAGAGAACCGTGTTCTCGGCTGCGGGAGCTGCACACCGCGATACAGCGTTCTAATATTTTAAGCGGACGAAAGGGCCGACCTGGGGTTATTGTGTCGCGAAAGAATCCCTGTGAACGAGCATCGCGAGAGCCGAAAAAATTCCAGCATTCCACCATCGGCGAGATTCTTTCGGACAACTTCGTTTCCGGCGAGCTTGCACAAACGAGCAGAAAGGCGCGGGGAACGCGAACAGTGGGAATATCGAAATTATCGCGGCGCTAGTGCGCGTTACTTCCGCAAAGGATCCATTGATTCCGCGTGGTCGTGCGGGGTGCATTTTCAGCGGGGCTATCTCACGGTAGTAAAAACGCGACGGGAAATAGGTCGATGCGATCATACGGAAGCCACTCGTGCAATAATAAATGCGCCGTATGGCCACTTCCATAAGATCGTATCGACCTATTTTCTGTCGCGTTTGCCCCCAAATAGCCACGTTAGGAGGAGGCCCGTGTATGATCCCGTCATCGCCGAGCCACCCTTTACTCGTAATCGATAACCTACGTCGGCCTCGCGTTGTCGAAAATTCGGAAACAATTCTCGCGACAACGGGGAAATAATTATCGTCCTCGCGACGATATAGCGTGCTCGTAAGTTATCGCATTAAGCCGCTGCTTTGATCGATGACTTCTCAAATCCTATTACTCTCGGCTCACATTTGATCGTGAACGTGCCATGCGCGCAAATAACGCGACGTCCGCTGTTCCAGCTTTAAGCGAATAGCTGCGAATGGATCTCTGATGATGTAACGCGTATGTAACCATAGGGAAATTGCCCCTCACGACGGATTTCGTTTGCAAAAATTTCAATGCACGCGGAAGGAATCGGACAGGGAACGCGAATCGTTGAGCAGCTAAATTGGGTTTCGATCGAGCGAGAAAATTTCCATAAAGATTAAAAGGTGGATCAGTGGCACGCGAAACTGACGTATGGCGTATCGCATCTAGGGATATCTTCATCTTGACCGGTGGACGAGCCTGGAAATCAAGCCTCCGCGATAAATCAATTGACGGTAAGCTATATCTTAATAAAAGGAGCAACGTGGCTGGTAGTATGGCAAGTAAGAGATATCGCGCCACTCGCATCGCGTGCTCGATACGTGTTACACGTTCCAACTTTATGCTACGAACGTTACGTCGCACAGTGGGGACTTTTGCCGAAAAGTTGGCCAAAATTCAATTCTTCGAGAGCATAACTGCGCTTCACTAGTATGCGACATTGTCGTACCAATTTCAATGCATCAAACGCCACGCGAAATTTTGAAATATAATACACAATTATTACGGTGTACGTCATCAAAATTGAAATTTAGCGCTCCTATACGTCTTAAGATTTGTGGAACCATCGATGTACCGGCACATTTTATATTCAAGAAATTTTATGTTTCAAACATTTTTCTCATTAATTACATCGAATAAATATAAATATTGTAAATCAACAACGCAAAATAATATTCAATTTATTCGCGTAATTCTTGTTCCAATATATCGTAATTATTTTCGATATTTAAATAAAGAATTAGAATTAGAATAATCGTGAAATTCAGGAGGCATTCTTGGAAATTGAGTTACATCATTTAAAGGAACACCGTAGATACAATTTCCACGAAAAATATGATCAAAGAATGGTAAATGTACTTAAGACAAATCTATTACCGAAATTTTAATTTATATCAAGGAAGTTAATGGCCTAAAAATATAGGTATAACTTGGAAAAAGTTTATAAATTATTATATTTATTGTTAAGAGCAAATTATTCGCAACGTAAATTTATAATAAATTGAAAAAATTAGTAAATTATTGGTTGATACTTGAACTTATAACGTACTTGTGTTAAAATGGACCTATAATTTGAAAAAAGTTGATAAATTATTATGCCTATTGTTAATAAGAAATTAATATTGTTAAAAACAAATTGTTCGCAATGTTAATTTTTTAATAAAAATGAAAGAACTTAATAAATAATGGCCTATTTGCTTGACTTTATAAAGAGCTTGTGTGAAAATGTATTAATAATTTGCAAAAAGTTTATGCATTATTGCACCTATTGTTAATAACAAATTAATATTGCTACTAACAAATTACTTACAACATATATTTATAATAACAAAAATAAAATTAATTAATTATTAGCTATTACAGCAGAAAAATAATAATTAATAGAATCGGCCAAGTTGGAAAATTTTTAATTGGGGTGGGGAGGTCGGGCGATCGGCGGCTATATAAAGGGCGACGCGACACAGCAAAACTCATTTGTCGGTTCGACTTCCGAAGTGTAACATCTAAATTTCGTTGTGCGCGAGGGGCGGGGGTCCGAAATGAGGTTGGGGTTGGCTACCCCACCCATTCCCCACCCCATTAAACAGTTTACTAATAATTTTTGTTTTGTTTTCAGGAATTAATTATTCTTTTTTTTCAGGTTTTAATTATTCTTTCCTTTTTCAGGTTTTAATTATTTTTTTTTTTATTTCAGATGTCATTTTTCGCTTTTATCTATTTTTATCTGACAATTCGAATATTTCATATAATATTCGAATGTCTCATCGCTGGGTTGTTTATGTCTCATCGTTGGGTTATTAATAATTTTTCGAATATTTCGTATAATATTCGAATTTCTCGTCGTTGGGTAGTTTATGTCTCATCGTTGGGTCGTTCCTTCCATTTGGTTGATCATTATAGCCTATATTCATTTCGCTTTTGTTATGTTTTACTTTGTTTATTATATTTGTTTATGTTTTACTAATTACTTACTAATCTGTTTCTTTCCAGGTTTATATATTTTCTTTTTAGGATGCGTGCGTTTAGACCTAAGTAGATATAAGCAGATATAAGATA